AATTTCACCAGAAAGTGTTTTTTTTTTTTTTTTTTTTTTTGATTAAAAAAGGGGACAAAAGCTCACCAAAGTTCAAAAAGTTGGTAGCAAAATTGAAGTCAATTGAGTTTATTCAATAATCAATACCATGTTACCAACCAAAGACTGCAATAGAAGAAGTCTTGGTGTTCAAAAGAGGAAAAGGTGATGAGAAGGTTTGAATTGTGTTGAAGATATGTATGTAATGAAATCAAAGTGTAAAAGGTTTTTTATTTTCATTGGTCCAATGGTGCAATCCAAAGTGGACAAAGAGGAAAAGGGTGATGAGAGGGAAGGAAGAAAGGGTGTGATGTGAGAAAGAATGTGGCATATGGGGTTGCAAGATTGAGATTGTGGAAATGAAAATGGTGAGTGGTTTTTTGAAGAAAGATTCAAAGGTTGGTTTGGTTGGATTGGAGAAGGTGCCAAAGTGATGAAAGACTTGGACTGATTCAAGAGCCAAGCCGGTGGTTAAGACTTAAAAACCTTGAGAAAAGGAAGAAGGGAAATTATATTTGTATAATTTTTATATAAAAATTGTTTAGAGACATCATACACATATATGTATGTGTGTGAGACAATAATTTTTATTTTATATATAAATTAATTTTGTAAAATTTATTTATTTTAATAAATATTTATGAGATGTATATTAAAGATTTTATATCGATAATAATTATATGTGTATAATTTTTTATATAAATTTGTTTAAGAACAAAAGAAAAATAGAAAAAGATAAACGAGACTATAAAACGATACATATAGTGAACATTTATGTTTGATTTCTTATGCAAAATCTCTGTTTTATGCATGAAAAAATTATGATTGAAAACTAAATCCCGAGGAAAAATACGCTTATAAATTTTTGAAAAAATTATGATTGAAAACTAAATCCCGAGAAAAAATACGCTTATAAACTTTTGTTTAAATATGATTTTAATTGTTATAAAATGAATAAATTTTAATTTTAATTTTCGTAACTTTTTTTCTTCTATTTTTATTCTTTTAAAATTTAGAATTATTTTTAGTTTTAATTTATTTATTTAACTATTTATTTATTTATTAAAAGATTAAATAGTTATCTCAAGTGTTAGTTACAATTATTAGTGATTTTATAGTAATATGTGAGACCTCTAAATTTTTTTATAAATTCTTAAAATAAATATTATTTATACACTTTTAATTATTGATAAGAATAAAAAATAATAATTTAGATTTTAAATAAATGAAAATCAGATAAAAATATTTTATAGGGATCAAGATCAAAATTTACATATTTTATAAGGATAAAAATATTTTATATAAACTTAAAACAATGTTTATATATTTTAGAATGATAAAAAATAAATAAATAATTTTACAAGGATCAAAATCAAAATTCACTTATTTTACAATAACTAACAACATATTTAAGTCTAATTTTTAAATAAAATTTGTTTAGAGAAAAAATAGATTAAAAAATTATGAAATAAAATGATAGCTATGATGAAAAGAAGTAGAAAAAAATAACAATAAAAATACAATAAAAAAAAATGTTATATGAATAACATAATTATTAAAAAAAATAGAATTTATAAAAGAGTTATAAATAAACTTGTATATCAGTTTACTTTTTTTTTTCTTTATTACGACACAATTTTATTTTATAGATCTTTTATATTTCTTATTTATGAAATATTATATAAAATTATTGTATAAATAAAATTTTTGCATTTAATAAGTTGAAAACTAATGATGGAACAAATATCAAACGATTTGTTTCTTCTTTCATTACATTTTTAAATATTATTTTGATTTTTAAAAGAATGATGTGATCTGATAGAAAAAATCAAAAGATGATGCGTGTGAATAGTAATGTTGACAACTGGATAATTTACAACTTCCATCTTTCAACCAGTATGTTCTTTTTACATCTTTGAACATCTATTATTACTCCAGTTAGTTACGAATTTTATGTAATGAAGTAGTACTTTATATATTCATTAAAAAAAATTATACATTGATTATAATTTATATAATAAGCTATTAAACAGTTTTTTAATTTTTAAAAAATTTATAAATTTATTTACTCAAGAACTTTTAATTCAATGATTTAATTGTTTTATTCAGATGTTTAATTGTTAAAATTCAATATAGATAATAAATTAATGAGTAGAGAAACTCAACCAAAAATTACTCTTTAAGTAAGTGTATATCTTTCTTATATATATATATATATATATAT